CAGCACAATCTCACTCTATATTTCTCTGAATATAAAGTGACCTTCTAAGGGTTCAAAGACCAGCCTATTCAACTCTATTCTTTGGACTTGTTGTGTGAAAATTCCAGCCTATATGTTCTGGAAATAAACTCTATTCTCTGGACTTTTTCTTTTTCTTTTATTTTTTAAAATCTTCCTGTTTTTTTCCTCTCTAAAAAACTTAATCTCCAGCCCTTTTTTTGTTCTAAATGAGCCAAGCTGCCTTGATACCTTCAGCCTTTTATTCTGCCCATACCCCTTAATTCCCTATGCCTAAATGTCTTTTCTTGATGCTCACTATATTGTTCCTCATGCTTGTCCTATTGTTCTAATCAAGAGTCATGGGTTAAGAGTATTCATTTTAAACTCCCATGTTCTTATGTCTTGTTCCCCACTGACAATTAAACTAAGGTTAACAAATTACCACTAGGCAGACTTAAGCTTACAACCTGTTAAAATCCTATTAAACTCCCAAAATTACCCCTTAACCCTTGCATATTACTGTATTACCCTAAGCCTTACTGGTCAGTATATAAAACCCCTCTAAATTTTAGCAAATCACTGATTACTAATTGTATAAGCTTAAACTCAACACGGATTTCAGGTTGACCTGTTAGGTTTCTACAGCTATATCCAATTCTCAACCTAAGTCCAACTTAAAATCAGATCACACAGGGATGTCAATCAGATAAGTTGATCAAATTGGGAACCAATCCTGACAAACTTAAATCAAACAACCAACAGGGAGCAAATGATGAAGCAGTGACAATCAGGCCTCCATGGCAAACTATGAAGATCATGGGGTTACTAAATGAATGGTCAGTCTAGTTCAAAGACAAAACTAAATATATTCAACAGGTTCATTACAAGTTAACATACAGATGTAGGGCTGGCAAACGCACATGGAGGACATTAATGAGCTACTATCCTATTTCCTCTAATTTTTAAACAAATTAATTGACGACACTTATTTAAACGACTATACAAGCTATAATAGACAACAAACAATCAATAAAACACACAAAAACAAACTAAACATTACCTCAGGATCCACAGACTTGACAGAAAAATCAAAAACAAACCAAACTAAACATGAAAAACAGATAAAATTCATAGGAGAGCAAAAGAAAGGGAAAAATTACCTCAGGGATTCGAAATCAAAACTGACCCAGGCTCAAGTCCAATGAGCTCGAGTCGAAACCCGACTCGGAGACTGAACCCAAAATAGTTAGTTAAATATGCCTAAGGGCAAGGCATAAGAGTCATTGTCGCCAGCCCACACAAATCCAAAACTTGAGGGTCGAATGAGCTCGAGTCGAAACCCGACTCTGAGACTGAACCCAAAATAGTTAATTAAATATGCCTAAGGGCAAGGCATAAAAGCCATTGTCGCCAGCCCACACAAATCCAAAACTTGAGGGTCGAATGAGCTTGAGTCGAAACTCGACTCGGAAACTGAACCTAAAATAGTTAATTAAATATGCCTAAGGGCAAGGTGTAAGAGTCATTGTCATCAGCCCACACAAATCCAAAACTTGAGGGTCGAAGGAGCTCGAGTCAAAACTCGACTCGAAGACTGAACCCAAAATAGTTAATTAAATATGCCTAAGGGCAAGGCGTAAGAGTCATTGTCGCCAGCCCACACAAATCCAAAACTTGAGGGTTGAATGAGCTCGAGTCGAAACCCGACTCAGATACTGAACCCAAAATAGTTAATTAAATATTCCTAAGAGCAAGGCGTAAGAGCCGTTGTCTCCAGACCGTAATAAAAGGTTGCTTCGGCTCAAGGCATAAGAGCCACTATCGTCAGCCCATGTAAAAGGTCGCATCGACCGAACGAGTAAGAGCCTAAGGGCCAGCTTGAAATTTTAAAGCTTGCAGGTCAAATGAACTCGAGTCGAAATCTGACTCGAATACTGAGCCCAAACTAATAAAAATGCCTAAGAGCAAAAGCATATGAGCTCAAATGCCAGCTTACACTAAAAGGGCGTACCGACCCAATACGTACGAGTCACTATCACCAGCGCTAAGGTCAAAGGTCGTGCCGGCCGGATGCATAAAGCCAGGTCTAACCCGAGAACTCTTGGGGACTGGTCTTCGATCGATATGAGTCACCCAACAATAGCAAAGCCCGAGGGTCTAACCCGAGATCTAGGACCTCGGGTCAAAAGTCGAAATACATCACATAGTATTTCTGAAGAACAAAATGGAAAGAAAGGATAGGAAACAAAAAACCTTCTTATGGCTCCTAGGGGGATGTTTACAAGTCTTGAAAGAACCCTTACAAAGAGAGAACCAAACAGAATCCTAATCTATCATCAAGCCTACATCTTCGTTGGCTCCACCAAAGGTTGCATCCCAATAACTACTGGTCCTTCAGTGACCCCTTTTTGACGGCCTCTTCCCATCTAGGGGATCCTCCTTCATTTGTATCACCTCCTGTGACACTGCCCGACGCACCTCTGAAAGAAAGCAAGGCAACATATTTCTTCTCTAGGGTCTTCACCCTCTCGAGCTCGGCAGGCAGAATGATATCCCCTGCATATATGTCCCCAAAAGTCTACCTCAGAGATCCTAATCGAGTACGCTCCATAGCTTGAGTCAATTTCGGCTCGGCCTCCTCAGGCGCCCTCTCGACTTGAGCGCTTGTCACAATGGCATCCTCTCCATGCAAAGATATAAGTGCCTCGGCTTCAGCTTTGATCCCGGATAATGCAGCTACCAACTCAAAATGGAGACCTCTATATTTTCCACTATCCTCTCTCGAGTCACTAAGCTGACGCCCAACTAAGGTCACTTTCTCTTGAAGGGCATCCTCTCGGAAGTTATCTCTCTCACATGCCGTTTGACTTCGGAGACTTTGGAGTCTCTGGCTCGTAGCTCCTCCCTCAGCAGGACACCTTCCTTCTCAAACTGTACGAATCAGATCCATGATGTTAAAATACTGGGATCTGGCAAAACATTCAGATAATGGCAAACGGGGACTAGGTAACATATTTAGTAAGGTGAGCCTTCTTGCGCTCATGGCGGGTCACCTCAGCCTGATACCGGGTAAAAGTCTGACTGTAAAGCGCATTGGCCTGAAGCCACAAAAAAGACAAGTTAGAAATACAAAGGTCAGAGCAACCGAGGCCTGAACAACAGACAAAATTCGCAAAAATTACCTGCTCACAAAGCCTGCTCATCTCACCAAAGACGAGGGAAGCATCAATCTCAGGGATTCCCTCGGGAACGTTGGAAGCCTTTCGAGCACATCTTTGCCTTTGACGGGCATCCCCGCATCGGAAGATTCTTCAAGCGGGGCATCTCGCACTCCCTTAGGAGGTAGGGTCATTCCCTGAAGGCAATCAATCACGGACACGGCACTAGCAGTGTCAGTCAGGACCATCCCTTGTCCATTCAGGGCCCCCGAACTAGGCCCCTCCGAACTACCTACCGAAGACACCCCAACTCGAGGGAAATTCTGGCCACCGGCCAGCTCGAGGGCAGAACCCGATACTCCCTCAGTTGTCTCTCCGCTATGAAGTTGGACCGTAACGACATCATACTCCGGCTCGGAAGCCACCATCTCTACGGCCTAAGGATCGACCAGGTTTATCCCTCCCTCGGGTGCTGTCGAGAAGCTATTTTCCCCCTCGCCTTCAACTCAAGGGTGTCCCACCTTTTTCGGAGTTAGAGCTGCCGGGTCGGCCTTAGTTTCTTCCGCCTTAATATTCTTGGATTCCAAAGGCCCGTCCGACGGATCCCTTTGTCTTTTCTTTCCTTCATCGGGTACCAAATCACCCTCCCCACCAGGTAATGCTCCCTTCATCAAGGTGACTTCCCCCAGACCTACACAGATGCAAGGGGTAAGCACAAGAAACGAGAGCGCTGAGAGTAGCGATTTAGGTCGAAAAAAATGACTACAGCATGTGTAGAGGCTCACCATGATCCTTAGCTTCCCACCGAGCATGGGATAAATCACGCCACACTCGCTCAACATATGGGCAAATCGAGTCCAGATGGCTTACCTAATTCGGGAGGTCTGGAACCGTGCCAGGATAAATTGTTGCAGCTGCATTAGCAAGAAAAATTAAGTGCTTGGGAGAATGTAGTCAAAGGGAAGCAAGGGAATGCTAGATAACATGTCTACTTATGTTCCACATTCCATCTCTCGGGAAACGGCATCCTTTCCACCGGAATCAGGTCATAAGTCCTTACTCGGACAAAGCGGCTTATCCATCCCCTATTCCTAAGCTCCTTAATACAGATGAAGAGGGCCCTTGGGGCTCAACATCGGAGCTTGATTAGACCCCCCGTGGAAGAGACGGGGGCTATACATCTTGATCAGATGATCAAGGGTGAAGGGCATCTCTTCGATCATGTTCACGTAGTACCTGATCACGTAAGCAACACGCCATAATGAAGGATGAATTTGGCCAAGGTTCACTTGATACCGTTGGTAGAAGTCGAGAATCACGGGTTCGATCGGGGGCGAAGATGGCCCCACCGGGGGTAAACAGGTAAGTATACACACTGAGAAAATCAGCTTTGTATGTCGTAATATCCTCCTCCCAAGTAGGGATCTCCACAAGCACTGCGTCCCCCCATCGACAATCAGCTCTCACTCTGTCGACATCTGTTATCGAGCTAATATACTGAGTCATGGTCTCACGGCGCCCTGGCTTTGAAGAAGGCCTCTCGACCTTGAAATCAAAAGCCATCGCAAAAAATCTTGGAACGCATTCCTCAGCATGAGAAGGCATTTCCGCTTCACCTTGAGATAAAAGAGAAGAGGATGAGGCCACATTCTCCTGAGAAACAGAGGTGAAAGTTTTCGCCATTGCTAGAAAATTCTGGAATAAAAAGGGAAGTCGCGTTCCTAGGAAAGAACAAAGTAAAGGCAAAAGGAACCTTTTGGGGGGTTTGGAAATGTAGTGAGTTGGAATGAACGAGAAGTGGAGTATTTATAGAAACACCGCGTGCGCGTTGAAGGAGGCCAAATGGCAGCTAACTACCATGATCAATGTGGAGGCCTTCAAAGGGTTGTGTGTGCATCATCTTTTGGCACCTTATTACTGCCGTCGTTATAAAATTATCAGAGGGGGAAAATGTTCAAGGTCGTTTCTTATCACTCACTCTAAGAAACGCGGAGACTATCTATGCACGGTAAAATTGGAGAGTCCAATTTCCTCATCATTATGATGCCCCGCGAACATACTTCACAAGGATCAAGACTGGGGTCGAAGTTCACCTTCGAGGGCTATCGATGCTCGACCTCGGGGCAATGTAGACCAATGGCTATATTTGAAAAGTGGAGAGTTCCCAAAGGGTGCAACTAGAGCCGACAAAGTCTATCAGGCTAGTCTGAGCCCGCATCATGACGTCAGTTAGTTGTCCCATCTCCATATCTTTGTAATAAATGCGTTTGTACTATGATAGGATCCCCCACTTTCTATATAAAGTGGGTCCTTACCACATTGTAAGGATTGATTTCTCCATACTAAAAACCAAGAATATTCTCTCTGCCCTTTAATATATTCTCTTAATATTATTACTTCCGTTTATTATCTTCATCATTGTTCTTCATTTATTGCTTATCATTGACCATAAAGAGCCTTTGTTGATTTTACTATAAATTTTAGACATACTTCTATCACCTCTGATAGCTCTCAGTCGAGCTCCGGAATCGACCTCGAGGCCCCCGAATCGACAAGCTCGAAGCCCCGATTGTTAACCTATTGGTTTGGTTATCACCTTACTCCTTACTCTTATCTCGTCTCTAAACCTTACACATAGCATCAACTACTTAACAACTTGCATAAAAATAGATCACGTATTTTTAGAGTCTCATAATCAAATTTAATTGTTGTTACCATTTTCACGGTAAACATACTTTATGTTCCAGACTTCAAGTTCAACTTGTTATCAGTTTCAAAGCTGACGAATGAGCTCTCTTGCTTTATTACTTTTTACCCTAATTTTTGTATATTTCAGGACCTTTGCAGTGGAGAGGTGAGGGAGATTGGTAGAGAAAAGGGAGGACTATACATAGTCAAGAAAGATCCAAATAAGAAGCTACAATTGTCAGTGATGAATGTAGTTGTATCACAGGATAAAGAGGACAACATATTATGGCATATGAGGCTTGGGCATGCTTTAATAAGCACCATGAAGAACATGAAATCTTTGCAAAATAAATTGAGTAATGCCAACGTAAATAGTGATTGTTCTATCTGCCATCTTGCCAAACAAAGAAGACTATATCTTCCGAATAGTCAATCTAGGAGTCAGTCTGTATTAGAGCTTCTTCACATGGATGTCTAGGGTCCCTACAAAATTTCTACTCATGACAAGAAACAGTTCTTTCTGACAATAGTTGATGATATGTCTAGATTCACTTGGATATATTTGTTGAAGTTTAAGAGTGATGTGTTTGTTGTACTGAAAGTATTTCTTGTTATGATAAGAACTCAGTTTAATGCAATTACAAAGATCATTCGTACAGACAATGGTACTGAATTTTTTAATCACCCATGCACTAGCTACTAGAATCATATGGCATTATACATCAAAGTAGTTATGTCTATACTCCACAATAAATTGGAGTTGTGGAGAGCAAGCATAGGCATATTCCACAATAAAATGATGTAGCAAGGTCACTGAAGTTCCAAGGTACCATTCCAACCAAATTCTGGGGAGAATGAATAGATACAACCGTATATCTCATCAACAAATTGACAACTGATGTTTTAGGTGGCAAGAGTCCTTTTGAGCTTCTATATGCCAAACCAACTGTTGTTGAGCATCTGAAGGTGTTTGGATGTCTATGTTATGCTGTGAATCTGCCCAAAGGAGACAAGTTTATAGCTAGAGCCAAGGCTGTTGTATTCTTGGGTTATTCAGTCACTCAAAAGGGTTACAAATTGTTAGATCTTGAGACTAAACAATTGTTTGTTAGTCGAGATGTGGTATTCAAGGAGCATATATTTCCTTTTCAACAAACTGCCAAGTTCTCATATCCCTCATCTATTGGTTACTCCTCCACAGCTCATGACATGGAGAGATTGCAAGATCATGAAGTAGTGGACTATGAAGTATATGAGGAAGCGTACTCAGTTGACACTCATGAAAGATCTGAGAACTCTGTTGATGGTGAAGCTGATGCCACTCATGATGAACCAATAGATGATATTGTCAATAATAATTCTGAACCAGCTGAGGATACTCATGCAATGACTAAAGGTGAAGCTGCACTTCCTCCTACACTTACAGACACACCTACAAATATTACTGAAGGCATTATTGAGACTGGTCACACAATACCAACCTTGAGAAAATTAGCAAGAATTTCTAAAACACCATTGTGGCTTCAAGATTTTGTGACTAGTAAGAAGGATAATGGAGCAACACTACACACTTTAGCAGACTGCATCTGTTATGACCATGTGTCAAAAAAATATAAGAGATACTTGACCAAACAATCAACCCTCACAGAACCTCAAAGCTTCAAGGAAGCATCTCAGGATGACGATTGGATCAATGCAATGAAATTAGAAATTAGGCATTAGAAGACAATAATACATAGGAGATAGTAGACCTACCAAAAGACAGGAATGCAATTGGATCTAAATGGGTCAACAAGATAAAATACAAGTCAAATGGAGATGTAGAAAGATGCAAGGCTAGATTGTTCGCAAAAGGATATAACTAAAAGGAAGGATTAGATTACCATGAGACTTTTTCATCAGTTTCCAAAATGATGACAGTGAGAACACTGATGGCATTGGCAACATCAAGAGGTTGAAACTTGTATCAAATAGATGTCTACAATGTATTTTGCAAGGAAATCTATATGAAGAGATGTACATAGAGCTTCCTCAAGGATTCAGAAGTCAGGGGATTCAAAGGGATGTAAATTGAAGAAATCATTGCATAGGCTTAAACAAGCCTCAAGGCAATGGAATATAAAGCTTACTGAGGCATTAATAGAATCGGACTACAAACAGAGCTTGATGACTATTCCATTTTTACTAAAAGTAGGGGAGATAGCTTTGTGGATATATGTAGATGACTTGTTAATTACGGGGAATGATGAAAGTCTCATACAGGAGACAAAAGATGTACTACATCATAAGTTCAAAGTGAAAGACCTTGGATAATTGAGGTACTTTCTGGGAATAGAGATCATGAGATCAAGCAAGGAAATCTTATTGAATCAAAGAAAGTATACATTGCAATTGGTGTCAGAACTGGGATTAGGAGGAACTAAGCCACCATCAACACATGTTGATTTGAATCAGAAATTTACTTCACGAGAGTATGATCAATATATCGGTGCAACGGGAGATGAGGCACTAGCTGATGCATCAGCCTATCAAAGAATCATTGGGAGATTGCTTTACTTAACAATAACCAGACCAGATATTAGCTATGTTTTATAGACTCTAAGTCAATTTATACAAGCACCCAAAAGATCTCACTGGGATGCAGCAGTTAGAGTAGTAAAGTACATCAAGAAAGATCCAGGAATGGCAATTCTTATGAGTAGTGTGCAGTCAGATAATTTAACCTGCTATTGTGATGCTGATTGGGCAGCATGCCCAAACAAAAGAAGATCAGTGAGTGGGTTCTTAGTGAAATTTGGGGGGTCGCTAATATCCTGGAAATCAAATAAACAACAGACAATTTCAAGAAGCTCTGCAAAAGTAGAACACAGGAGTTTGGCACCAGCTACAGCAAAAATAACTTGGTTATTAGGATTGTTCTTAGAATTAAAGGTGTCCATTGAGCAACCTATAGACTTATTCAGTGATAACAAGGAAGCAATGCAGATTGCATTCAATCCTATATTCCACGAGAGGATAAACATATAGAGATTGATTGCACTTTGTGCGAGACAAGATCATGGAAGGGAAGATAACAGTACATCATATCGGGACCAAAGATCAACAGGATGATTTACTCACAAAAGGTTTAGGGAAAGTGCAACATTGTTTCTTACTCAGCAAGCTGGGAGTGATCAATGTTTTACAACCTCCATCTTGAGGAGGAGTGTTGGAATAGTTAGTGGTTAGGACTTAACTGAGGTTAAAGGAGTTAACTATAGAGGTTAGTAGGTTGTTAGAAGTTAGTTAATTCTACTGTGCATATGACACTTAGGTGCCTGCTGTAGATTAGATCGGTTGATTAATTTNATATATATATATATATATATACATTGTAATCTGATTGTAAAAGAATAAGATCAATTCATTTCCTTCTTGAAAGTTCTAACAGATCTCTCTCTCTCTCTCTCTTTCTCTTTGCTCGATCACATTTGCTCTCGCTTCTGCACAAGCTCATTTCCTCTATGAGAGAGCTTGGAACTGAATTAGAATCACCAAATTCATGTTATCAAACTATATTTGTAAAATAATTCTGAAAAATATAAATGAACATAAACAGAAATAAAAAACAGAAACAGAATTTTAATTCTAGCCCACTGAATTCACAGTATTTCCTTAAGGAATTTAATTCCCTCCTAGTACCCAAGGTTGTGGATTATTTCCTCCCAAGATAGAACGAATTACACACTGGTGTAGTGGTACTTCAAACCCCAGTATTTCAGTAAACACAAAGTTCGATAGCAAATCACACTTACTGTTGTTGTCTTTGAAGTTAAAATATGCAGAAGAAAGGAGAAGAACTCAGAAAATTCGTATGGAAATTCTGAGCAGAACAGTCTTGTATTTATAGCCAAAGTTGGGTTGAAATTTGAAGAGGTGCAACTCTTCAGAATGGATGCTTATGCAAAACGGCCACAGCATAAATGTCATAACATAAATGGCTATTTACTCAACAATAAAGAGGAAAAATTGAAGAGGGTAGTTTAATTTTCAGTTACACAACTGAAAAACGGATTGGATTTAATATTATTAAAATAAATATTTAATAACATTCTATTAATATTTTGTTATTAACAAATAAATTTGGTCCAAAAAATTAATCAATCAATCGATCATTTGACCAAATCCGAAGTCGAGCGACGACGACTACGCGAGGCTTGCCTTCTTCTCAACTCTTTAAGAGCTGGAAGAAGAGCAATTGCTTGCTTATATACCCATAAAAAAACCTCTTTCTCTTCCAATATGTCCCTTTGCCAAGGGAGGAAACTTAAAATTTCCCATTCACCCTATTTTAAGCATATCATATACTTAAAATCCCAACAATTCACATATCTACAGTATTGTTTATTTAATAATATTTCTGTTAATATTTTACTATTAACAAATAAATTTGGTCCAAAAATTAATCAATCAATCATTTGACCGAAGCCAAGCGAGCGATGACGACAGCACGAGGCTTGCCTTCTTCTCAACTCTTTAAGAGCTAGAAGAAGAGCAATTGTTTATATACCCATAAAAAACTTCTTCCTCTTCCAATATGGGACAATGTCATTTTACCAAGGGGGGAAACTTAAAATTTCACTCAAAAATTTCATTTCCCTTCATTTCTCATTCACCCTATTTTAAGCATATCATATACTTAAAATCCCAACAATTCACAAATATCTACAGTATTGTTTTAATTAAATGCATATACTCTATCTATTATTTCTCTTTAACTGTTTAAACTATTATTTCCGGAACTAATTGGAGATGTTAAGACTTGTTTCCTGCATCCGAACACAGAAATTGTGTCAGACACAATATCAAAACTTTAGACAAAAACATAAGGGTAAGGCATTGAAAGGCTTAGTATGAAATGCAACAAGGGCAAGTAATAAGGTGATATCTAGAGATGCATGGAACTACTTATTGAAAGAAGATAAAGAGGCTAGAAAATAGTTTGATCATCATGAAAGACCATTCCAAACTTGGACTAGAGCTTTGTTGCAGACTAATAGCAGATGTGACATGCCCTTGAACATGTATATAGTTATTTACATGTCTCAATTATACATCTCACGTGGATGTTGCGTTAAGATTTAATACAAATGATTGCATGTGCCATCCTTAGATTGTTGGAGAGTAATTTGAAAATATTGAAATTGATATGCATGAATAAGTAATTTGCTGATGTCATTTGTATGGCTAACGTCATGGATATAATTTGAAGAACTGAGCAAAATTCATTTTCTTGTGAATCTGACTGTCGTTCATACAATTATTTATTTCTATTTAGGACAGGGAAAAAATATAAGTAGGCAATATTTAAGATTTTTTTTTACATACATAGCAACAGTAGGTGTTTTACAAAATAGGCAGCTAAATAAAGGGGGAATTACGCTCCTTGTCACTTGGCCCAACAGTCCATCAAAAAATGACCCACGTTTGAAGCCCTTACATGATATGACCTACGTTGTATATAATCTGAAAATTATTTTTCACCAGTTAGCCCACCCTATTTTTTTTCTTTTCTTCGTTCTTCTTCTTCCTCTTTCACGACTTTGCACTCCAAAGTTTTTCTATCATTATATATATTCTTCAATTCTCCTTCCAGATTTAAAGTTTATAATCACTATTAAGATGAGAAGAAAAAATACCACTTAAGAGAATTATTATTTTTGGAGTCACCATTAAAGGTCATTCGAAGCTTCAATTTCAGAAATTGAATTTTTCGATTTTTTTAGTTGTTTGGATTGGGTGTTGGCCCAATTGATTGGGATCGTCAAGGGAAGTTCAAAACTCAAATTTGAAATGATTTGGAGCAGATTTGAGGTAGATTTGAGTTGAATTTCAGAAATTGAATTTTTCGGTTTTGTTAGTTATTTGGATTGGGTATTGGCCCAATTGATAGGGATCGTCAAGGGAAGTTCAAAACTCAAATTTGAAGTGATTTGAAGCAGATTTGAGGTAGATTTGAGTTGAATTTCAGAAGATGCCCAAAGAAGAAAAGAACCAGTGAAGCTCCATTAATAGGATTCATTTGTATAATAGTGTATAATAGTGTATAATATTGTATAAGTAATGTATAATTGTGTATAAATACATTGATACATTATTTTATACAAGGTTGATACATTATTTACAGGTATTTGGTGGATTTCTTACATTTCTTCTTCTTCTTCTTTCAACTGCTACACCTATATACATGGTGTATCACTAATATTTTCACTACTGTGTTTATACACTTTTATATATATATTTTTATACACTTTTATACAACTATATTTATAATATACATCTTTGTATAAAAGTGTATAATATTGTATAAAAGTGTATAAGCATCTCTGACGAATTTTTTGTACGATTTTCACTTGCAATTCTTGATTAAGACTATTCTAAATCTCCACTAAATGACTTCAAACTTTGTATACAGTCTACTTATACTAATTTTAATAAGTTCAAATAATACCCACTCCAAATTTCTCATAAAATCATATTAAAAAAATAACAAGATTAGCATTAAAGAAGATGAGATTTTAGATTTCTCGAGTCTGTTTGTGAATTTTCGTAGTTGTGATAGGTATGTAGAAACTTGAGCAAAAAGGATAATGGAAATATTTCACGCTTGAAGATATAGCGAATAGAAAAACTGGAAAAAAAAATTCAGATCTAAGCTTATTGATATTTGGCTACATATTTGC